GTGTGTGTGTGTGTGTGTGTGTGTGTGTGTGTGTGTGTGTGTGTGTGATGTCGAGGCACTGATAGTGTACACACGTTGAAGAAACATCTGTATATACTGATTATAGGATCAACCCGCTTTTTATGTACATGAATAGAATAGAATAGAAATAGAAACAGCCTTTATTGTCCCATGGATGGGAAATTCAAGTGTAACAGCAGCATCAAATAAAAAGATAAAAAGATTTCACACAAAAATTCCTAAATGTTAATAAACAATACAATATATAAGAAATAAGATAAACAATATCAATAATAATGTTCAATATGTGTTGGAACATTGAGAATGGCAGACTATTGACAGTACAGTATTCTACAGTATTAATTATTTTATTACTACAGCTTCTTTTAAACGTTTTTTGTTTCTTCTTTGGTGTATTTCAGAAGTACATGTTTTGTGTTATTTCAGAAGTACACGTACTTTGTGTATTTCAGAAGTACACGTGCTTTGTGTATTTCAGAAGTACACGTTTTGTGTTATTTCAGAAGTACACGTAGCCTACAAGCTGCTTAATTTAATTATTTTCAGACTGTTTACAGGCGTTACTTTAGCTACAGGAAGATTTCGTTGTAATGATCAGTAAATATGAAGAGTAATAGAAGTTGTGGAGGAATTTAACTTTTTCTTTTTTAAGTAAAATGTTTTAATTTTACAGACTAATTTGTGCATTTAGTGTGTCGAGGTGCACGACGAGTTACAGCGATGAGGAAATGAGAGGTTGCCGACTCTGTCACCGAAAACGTTTTTCTTCTTTAGTTTCGTCACGATTTGGTTTCTGTTCAGTTAAAAATGAAAAGGAGCAGTTCACAGCTGGGGTTGTGTTCAGGCCGTACAAATATCTATAATTTATTTATTTATTCTTCACAGTCAAACTTTAACGGCTGTTCAAAAGGCCTGAATGATGAAAATATCTCGAGAAGGTTAAAAAATGAAAACCTGATTTTCCGTCCTGTGTTGTTAAGCCTGATGAACAAGGTGAGGGTTCCACACAAAGGTGAGGTCAAAGGTCAAGCCCCGCCTGCTGCAGGCAGGAGGTCTGGACTTTACAATGAATACGAACAAATAAAAAGCAGCTTTTGATTTGTGCAGAAACCAGTTAATAACTTCTCCCTCTGCAGGTGAACACTTCCATCCTTCAGCCACATCTGTGTGCCAAGAGCTCAGCTGGATGCCTCAAACCCAGAGGCAGGAGGAGCGACGTGCACATGTGGTGGGCTCCACTTCAAACCCCAGCGCAGACCACGACCATGCTGCAAGAGGGATCTGCAAGTGCTCCGCTGCAAAGAGCCGATTCGACGCAGCAGAGAAGACGACGGCAGCCGGGGCGTGGCTTTCTGTCTCTGCTCGTCTCCAGACAGACGCCAGCCAACGCCACGGGGACGGGTTGTGATGCTTGTTGTTCTCTGGAAGGTTAAAGATGGACCCAAAATGGATTCAGGTTCTGGTGGTTCTGCTGCTACGTCACAGTAAGACTGTTTACTCGTTTTCTTTTTGTTGCTTTTCATAAAGAAGTGAATCATGACAGCTGATTCTGATCCAAACGTCCAGGAGTCGCCTCGGGTGGTCAGGTGGAAGCAGGAGAGGGGGAGGAGGTTTCAGTCAAGTGTAGCCCTCAGTCTCCAGGGACCATGGTGATCTGGTTTCGAGTGCTGGATGGATCTGGCATGGAGTTCATCGCCTCCTCTGGTTCCAGCGCTCACATAAAGCAGGCTGGAACGAACTTCTACAAACTCTTCAAGCTGTCAGACTCAAGAACTCTCACACTGAAGTCCTTCAGCAGAAGCGACGGTGGGATCTACAGCTGCGCCTCTCTGGTCGGCGGAAACAAACTCGACTTTGGAGAAGTGACCAAACTGCAGCTGAGTGAAGGTTGGTTTCCTCAAGGTGGTCCAACTCTCACGTTTCAGTCACACGAGCCTTCATGCTCTCTTTACTCCTTTTTTTAATAAAGGTACTAAAAACGCAACAGTAGCTCCGGCACCACGGACCACCACGCAGACGTCGACACCAGCCAACACCTGCCTGTGCACAAAGAAGACAGGTAACATCCCAGAGGGACGCCTCGTGTCCTGCACGGTCCCACTTCTGAGGACAGACAGCTGCTAACAGAGTCTGTTTAACAGAGTCGCCCATGTTTTGTGCTCCGATCGTCCTGGCCCCCCTGGCTGGAGGCTGCGGCCTTCTCCTCCTGCTCCTCATCGTCACCTCCGTGTACTGCAACCGTGAGTCAACACCTGCAGGAACTGAGCCATCTTCATGGTTCCTCTGATGATCAAACCGTTGTTCCTATTTTATTTTAAAATGTTTTCATTGTTGCCGTTTTGGCCTGAATGAAAGTGTTCACCATAAATCAGGGTTTTTATTCTGTTCTAGGAATGCGGACTCGACGGTGCCCGCATCATTACAAGAGAAGGTAAGTTCTTTATTGTTCTTCAATTCAAGGAGCTGAAGCAGTCAAAGGAAAATCTTCACGACTTTACGTCAAGTCCTAAAACTAAATATATTTTTAAACTAATAAGTATATTTTTATACTTTCAGTGAATTGTTCGGTGATTGTTTTATGTGGATTTTTTGTATTTAACTAAAATTATTCTAATTATCTGAAACCTACTATGATAAATATGCTAATTACAGTTTTTTGCTGTTTTTAGGGTGAAGCCAGCATTTTTTAAATTAGTTTAATTTTCAATACTTTTGTTTTAGAGAATTTTGTCTTTAGAATATTGTAAAAATAGAGATTATTTTTCACCTGCTTTTATGCTTTACTTGAAACCAAAATGTGCTGATTTTAGACAAACAAAACGCTCTAAAATCACAAAATTTTATGTTTTCCGCACTTAAAAAAACCCAGTTATAAAACAAATGATTATTTTGAATATTTTCTCTGCAGGCCGAGGATGGACGCTCTGCAGAAACAAATGAACAGACACGTCTGATCCAACATTTCTTCAGACTGGTTTATTTTCAGCTGCTTTACTCAGAAATGGTTTTATTTGAACAACCATCTGATGATTGAAAGTAAAATCTAAGAGTTCAGAGCAGCTCAACTCAAATTCTCGTTTTTTTACTGCGCTTTATTTTCATGACGCCAAACTCTGATACATTTGGTTTTTTTTTAAAGAAAATATATTTAGTTTTTATCAACATGAAGCTGTCAGCACCTGAGAATTTTAACCCATATCTTGTTTTTACAAATGTAATATATGTTTGTACATAATTCTTTTTACACTTGCTGTATTTCTTTTCCAACGGATTTTATTACTGCACTTGCTGTTAAAAATAAGCATTTAAAGTAAATATGACGTGATCAGACATTTTCAAGTTAAAGAACTTTATTTTGGCTTTTTCAGAATATTTCTCTTAAAAGTCAAAGACTGAAAACAAAAACCAAGAACAAATATTCAAGCCATGTTTTTTTAATAGTCGTCATTGTTTTCGACTCTGTTGTAAAAATTAAAAAAACCAACATCAAATAAAAGTTCCAGACAAAAGATTTCCTCCGAGCTCTGTGGGTCGTGTTTCGTCTTCGTTAGTTTATTTTGATTCGATTCTTTTGCACGGATAACACCCGACACATCTGCGTCCCGCCACTCGTTTGGAGTCTCGACACAAAGAGTTCAACATCTCGGAGCGCGTCGACGTTCATTTACGACCCTCTGAGTCGAAAGGAAGTGGGCTGCTTCAACCGTACGAAGAGTGGAAAACAGAAACGTTCAGAAGAGATCCTGTTCCCTCCAACACACACACACACACACACACACACACACACACACACACACACACTTCCCTTACATCTTTAATAAGACAGTGTTTGTTCAGTTAAAATTTAATGTGTAGCTTTAAGCGCTTATTTTTACATTTTAGACAAATTATACACTTTATTTAGTATTTCCTAACTTTAAAGTTTTTCTCCCTCAAATAAAAAAAAGAAAAACAAAAGAACATTTGGCGTAGGGATTCTTCACCCAGACGTGAAAGCGACAGCTGTTTTGTAAATGACGGCGTTGGTTTCGACAGAAGAAATTATAAACGAAGAGCGGCAGCTTCAAGTGCACTTCTGAACACGAGGACTTTTTGTTTCGTAAAGGCCAAGCTTGTACAAAAAGGCTCTTCTTACTACAGAAGCGAAGCACAAACCTCTCCGAGACAGAACGAACACCTCCACGCTGTTAATAATGTAAACAGATCGGTCCAGATATACTCAAAGCTGTACACTAGTGTCTAAACAGCACCCGAACACAACGCGAGACAAAACTTGGCTTTAGTTTCTGTAAATATGAACCCCCCCACAGTGCTGTCAGCCCCCGCTGCTCCACCCGACATCACCGCCACCAGCCTGACGGAGCGCACGTGTCGTGATGTCTGTGAGATCAGCTGATGTAGACAGAAGAAGTTTGTGCTTTTTCCTTCGTTGTGCTTTTGTCTCTTTGCTCGCTCTTGACCTCCGTCCTGTTGCGAAACGTCTGCGTTCGTTTTTTCCAGAGACAAACAAACAAAAAATAAAGTTTCCCCATCTTTGTGCACAAAACCAAAGAAAACAATGAAAGGAAAAAAAAAACGAAACAGTGGTGCTTGAAGAAGACGTGTTTATACGTGTGACGTGTTCAGGTCGGACCCAAGCCTGTCGGTCATCCAGTATACATTCTTGACGAGTTAGAAAAATAGAATCACCATCCAAAAAGCAGCTCCCTCACCGATGTGTCCCTGTGGTCTGGAGGACGAGTTGCACCCACAACCTGCACCATGAGACATCGGTCAGAGGAACGTCTGCTGCGTTTAGCTCGAACTGTGCACGAGATCAAACCTCACCAAGTGAACTAGCTCTTGCCTCCCTTTGCTGTAGACGACGGCACAACATCTTTGCTCAGCTGAGCTGAGAGGACGCCAGTGGCAGGCGGCTCTGCGGCAGGCTGCGTCTTCTGTGTCTGTGAATAGTTTTAAACAGCTCATAAATAAAGAAGGGTAAAAAGGAAACCAAACAACGTGAACATGCAATAATGATCCAGGATGGAGGTGCAGGAGAAAGTCTTGTAAGTGACCGTGAGCGGTGAACAACACTTCTCCAGTTTACTGATCAAAATGGTTTCTGCTTTTGGTTTTTCAGCTCCGTCATGCACCCTGAGCCAAGAAAAGTCTAAACTTGTGCAAACTCTGCTCAGACCAGGCCTTCATGCACCAAGCACTTTGCTTACTTTAGACTTTGACTTGGTCTTCCCCTGAAACAAACGTGGAAAACAAGTGGTTATAGTCGCCAGGTTCACTCTGCCACACGTGGTGAAACCATGAGTTATATAAACCACCAGAGGGCGCTCTGGTCATGTGACCTTGTGATTCTCTGAAGCAACGGCCACCATTACCAAAACAGTCAACTGTCTACACTTGGCGTTTTGACTGAATGGCCCTGAGTAAGGGCTGACTGCAACAAATGTCAAAAATGATAAATGCATGTAATACACTGCCTGGTCAAAAAAAAGTTGCCACCTGGATTTAACTAAGCAAATAGGTACGAGCCTCCTATTGGATAATTACTGCATGGATTATCTTTCAGTTGCAACAAGTTATTTAACCCCACTGGTGCAATGAGTTGCTTCTCATTTCTTAAACAACCGTGTTGAAAGAAGCATCGTGTGGTCGTGGAAAAGATGTCAGTCTGTTTGAGAAGAGTCAAATCATCGGCATCAAGCAGAGAAAACATTTAAGGAGATTGAAGAAACTTCTAAAACTGGGTTAAGAACTGTCCAACGCATTATTAAAAACTGGAAGGACAGTGGGGACTCATCGTCTTCGAGGAAGAAATGTGGCCGGAAAAAAATCCTGAATGATCGTGATCGTCAATCACTTAAACGTTTGGTGAAATCAAATGGAAGAAAAACAACAGTAGCACTCAGGGCTGTGTTTAATAGTGACAGTAAGAACATTTCCACACACACAATGTGAAGAGAACTCAATGAGTTGGGACTGAACAGCTGTGTAGCCTTAAGAAAACCAGTAATCAGTGAAGCTAACTGGACTAAAAGGCTTCAATTTGCTAGGGGGCATAAAGATTGGACTGTGGAGCAATGGAAGAAGGTCATGTGGTCTGATGAGTCCAGATTTACCTTGTTCCAGAGTGATGGGAGCATCAGGGTCAGAAGAGAGGCAGGTGAAGTAATACCTAGTGTCTAGTCATCAGTGGTGAAAAATTAATGCAACACTGGATGGAAATAGATCTTGTGACATCACAGAAGTTTATCGAAACAACGCCACAGTGAATGCATGATGTAATCAAAGCTAAAGGCGGTCCAACAAAATATTAGTGTGACTTTTTTTTGGTGGCGACTTTTTTCGGCCAGGCAGTGAATAATGATAATATAGTGTCAGACTGTATAAAAATATTAAAACGTCAGAAAGCTGTGTGCTACGGATGTTAGCCACAGAAGAGAAAACATGGACGCGTCTCCTTTCAGTCAACAGATTTGATCCGATTTAAGTTGGTGTGAATGTGATCCGACCAGAACTGACACCAATAATGGACCAGTTTAAAAGTAGCCTAAAGCCGATGCAATGACTGTTAACGATTGAATTGGCTCGTTGATTGTAGCTTCTGTGCCAGATGTGTAGTACAGGCTGAAGCACGCTCCAACTTAGTACAAACAAATTATGACACAGGACAAGCTGCTGTCGTCTCTGGTCTGCCATCTTTTCACGACTTCTGAAAATGTTATTTTTAATCTTACGAGTAGACGAGACACTGATCACTGCGGTTAGCTGCAGCTAGCACAGCCAACAAAAACACAATTTACACGTTCAAAAAAAAAGTTAGATGCAAATTCATCAAATTGTTGAAGTCATAATTATTCAACCAGCTCAAAAAGTCCAACAATTCATGAAGTCCTTAATTATTGACAGACTCTGGGTCTAGTTTAGATCATTAGTTGGATTTTCTTCATATGACATCTAGCTGTTTTAAGTGAATGTTGTATGAAATGATCAAGAATTATGAATTATAGTAAGTTATTGTAAAGATATTAAAATAATTAGGCTTGCTGTTAATTTTACAGTTATTTTGTCTGCTGTGAGCAGTTAACAGTTTTGGACGCCATCTTAGCTTCTCCATGATGTCACAAATGTAAACAATGGGCAGGATGGACAGGGTGCACACTAGTGGTATTATAAATAAAAAAATCTATGGGTGAACCTGAGCAATCTGAGAGGAACCAGAAAACCCCCACAAAAAAACCCGAACATTTCAGCTGTAACTAAAATAAACAATTATTTCACTGCATTAAAATAAACAAAAGCATATTATTTATTAAAATACAGAATTTTACCTAATCAAATTGCTTGTTAAATTATAATTCATTAAAAAAAAACAAGTTATTTACAGTTTTAGTTTGACACGCTGGTGCCTATAATAAGTGAGAAAACACTCATGACAGATTTATTTAAATTTACCTACTATCATCAGATAATAGAGAAAATCAAGATGTAAATCTTAATTTAATCACAATTAAACGTCAACTCTTGCAGCTTGCTGCAAACGTTTGTTTTAAATAAAAAAACGTGTTGCCTTTAAATGAAGGACGGGGGCCTCTTGTACAGTAAAGTCCTGTCCATCTGTGGGTTTGTTGCTAAAAAACAACAGTTAACCTGGTTTTAAAGCGTGGGAACGTTCAGGAGAGAACACCACATGGCTGTCAGCCTGCAGCAACAGGTGTAGGAGCAGGAGCACATCCTCACTCACCGCTACCAAAGAAAACTTCTGAGGTTCTGACTTTAACACTGGTTTAACCTTAAACTGGTGCCGTTTTAACTGGTTAAGTATTTACATATAGTCTAATCTTAATATGTGGAACATGTCCGTGGTTTTATCGTACACAGATTTTCCTCGTACCTTTGGCTTCTCTGTTTTAGGTTTAGCGTCTGCGCTGCCGTCGATCACGGTTTCAGCCCGGGAGTCCAGAACAGGACCAGCCTTCGGCTAGAAGGAAAACAAATACATCAGCAGCTCTTATTTTGAAATCATTCCGTTGTAAGAGTCGGAGTCGTTTCATGTCCACGCTACCTTCGGGGGCTCCGATTGGTGCGCAGGAGGCTCCAGCTTTGTTGTGCATGAGCCGACGGGCGCTGGAGGCTGAGGCGCAGCAGAAAAGTCACCAGACAGGAGGTTCAACGCCGTCTGGTCGTCCATCGTCTCCTGCAGGGACGAGGAGGAAACACAAAGGGACACAAGTGTTTCCATCTGTGAACACGTTTAATTCTTCTATAACTTTACTGACACTGCAACACGCGAGGACTCTACCTTCTTGGGTTTGGCAGCTTCTTTCTCCTTTGATTCTTTCATTTTCTTTCAAATTAAACAAACGGACTGCACGTTAGAAATGTACCCAAATAAATGTCCTTCCATCATGTTTGGAGCAGCTTACCTTCAGATCCTCCTCGGTGGGTCGATACTCAGGCGGCAGCGAGTCTTCTCTCTCTCCCATCTTCAACATCTTCTCCTCAACAATCTTTTTCTCCTGTAACCACCAAGCAGCCACATGTCAAGGCGACTCCAGCGACGTAAAGTTTTTTTTGTTTTCAGGAATACGTTGCAAGTGCTGGAGGGCTACCTTCACGACGTCTTTAGCAGGAACTGGGGCGGGCTGCACAGGTTCAGGGGCGATGTCCTTGAGAGTGTCAGACAGAGCATCCAGGGCGTTGTCTGCTTCTGCTGGCAGCTGAGGTTGAAACAACAAAGAGACGTTAGATGTTAAGTGATGGAAGATGGAGTCTATGAAAGGCTTTGCTCTTTTTTTTTTTTTACCGGTTCACCCGAGGCTGTAGGAGGACAAGGAGCAGATTTTACTGCTGAAGCAACAGTGGAGGAAACAAAATCTCCTGCCAAGAGGTCCAGAGCATCGTCAGGGGACTGAGGGAGTGACAGAATGAAACATGTTGAATAAAACTTGGGAATTGCTGCATCAGATTATCAGTTTGATGCAACAGATGTGTACCTCTGCAGGAGGAGCTGAGGGGGGGACACCAGGAGACTGGGCAGGAGGAGGAGCTGCCGAGGACGTTGTGAAGTCTCCAGCCAAAATATCCAGAGCCTCACCGGTTTCCATGGTGGGCTGGTGAAAAGAAGAGTTTAAATCAGTCACACAGTAGGAGCTTATTAAGCATATCTGAATTCAAACTAAAATAAACAGAATCTGAGCCGAGTGCAGCATTCTGAGCTCTGTGGTATCAAAGACTCTGCTCTAGACTGGCTCAGGTCTGACTTGTCTGAAGGAGTTTCTCTGTAAACCTCAAAGAATCGGTTTCTTTTTCAGCCCCACTTACATGTGGAGTTCCCCAAGGATCTATTCTTGGACCCATTTTATTCTTCATTTACATGCTCCCCTTAAAACCCCTCTACATCTTTTTTCATTCCTAGGCAGACAACGCTCCGATCTACCTACAGTTGAAGTGCAATCATTGTTTTTTCACTAACACTACACTTGGACTGCCTCGTGAGGTAGAAAAATTGGATAGTTTCAAACATCCTAAATTAGAATGAGAATAAAACTTAATATTTTTTGATTCCACTGGAAACTGCAGCTCTTCTACAGATCTGGACAACGTGGTGCCATTCTGGATCACTTAAGACTCTCTGTATGATGGTGTCAGTCAGGCTGGCCTCTCGTGACTGTAGTCAGTGCAGAACGCTGCAGCTCATTTTTTAACTCGAGCAAAAGAAGCATGAACATGTCTCCCTCACGCTGGCTTCAATTCATTAGCTCCCTCAACATTTCATAAGTGATTTGAACATTTTATTTATGGCATATAATCTGATTTGAGAACCTCACTGCTGACTGCTTTTGATTTTGATTTGAAAACCAAACAAAAAAACACGATTAGTGAGCTCAGGTTCTGATAAACAGGAAGTGATTTTGTTTTACCTCTGGTTTTGGAGCAGGCAGGTTTTTAAGATCGTCCTCTTTAAATCTGTAATCTGGAGGAAGTGAGTCTTCCCTCTCTCCTACCCGCACACCCTTCTCCTTCTTGATTTTGTCCTCCTGAAAAACAAAGCAAAACAAAAAGATAAACACTCATGCAGACGCCTTTAAATAAAAAATCCAAAATAGTCACACAAAAAAAAAAAAGAGGACAGGGAAATAAAGAGTAGAAATGAATTATATTGTACATTTTACTGAATTAAAAAAGGGACGTCTGTATGCTCTTTACCGAGATAATATCTTTAGGTTCAAGTTTGGGGGATTCGGTTTTTTTTGGTTCATCCGGTGTCAAAGTGTCACCAAGAGCACTGAGAGCATCATCAAGGACTGACACATCCTGAACAGGAAGCTGAAAGAAAATGTCAGTGGATCACTTTTTAGAAGACAAATGACTAAAATAAAATAAAGTTTCAAAAATCATTTGAGCTTTCAGTGTCACCTTCTCAGCCTCAGGTTTGGTGGGTGCTGGTTTTGCCGAGGTGACCTTAACGATGGACTGCTGCTCCTGAGGACCAGCTGTCTTCTGCAAAACAAAAACAACATTAGAACATGTGGACTAAAATAAAAGTACTGCATTTAATAAGATACGAGAAGTGTCGCACATCTAATGACTGCAGCGGGCTCCACTGCAACTGGACTAAAACTCCAGTGGTTAAAAGTACTAAACTCTTGGAGGCGACAAGTCAACAAAACAAAATACCAAGAGGGGTGGCTACTTTGCATTGTACCGTTATTTTTTTATTTTAGAAGAAGAGGTCAGACACTGCGGAATGAACAAAAAAACAACAACTAATCGCTAATATAAATTAATTTAAGCAGACAAATTTACTTGAGGTGTCTTTGTAGGAGGAGGGGCAGGAACCTGAACTCCAGAAGCTTTAGATGGAGCCACAAAATCACTAGAGAGCAGGTCCAGAGCCGACAAATCCTCCACCTTTTTCTACAAAACAGACCCAAGTCGACAGAGTTTAAAACTACAAGAAATGGCAACAAATGACAACGAAACAGATTTGAGAGCACACAAAACAGAATCATGTGGTTCTGTGACAGTGTGTGTGAGAATCAGTGGGCCAACAGTATTATACCTGTGCAGGAGGGTCTGTGGGTTTTACAACAGGAGCCTGGACAGAAGGAGCAGTTGAGGAGGTGGTAAAGTCCCCAGACAAAATGTCCAGAGCTTCTCCTGTCCCCATGGCAGGCTGCAGATACAGCAGGTCAGTCAGTTTGCCGTCCTCCATTCCTTTAACCATTTCACATGCACATTATGAATAGGTCCCTAATTTAAATACTCCTTCCTTACCTCAGGTTCAGGAGCAGGTAGTTTTTTGAGATCTCTCTCTTTAAATCTGTAATCTGAAGGAAGCGAGTCCTCCCTCTCTCCCACACGTACACCTTTCTCCTTCTTCGTTTTGTCTTCCTGTGGTAAAACGGAACAAAAAAAAAAAAAAACGAGCCAAATGAAAACGTTCAACATAACTGTGACGTATACGCCAACACTCGCAAGAACCAAACGTCTGGAAGCTTCATGCTCCTACCGAGACGATGTCTTCAGGTTTGAGTTTGGGAGATTCAGGTTTTGGCACGTCTTTTGGCAATGTGTCTCCAAGAGCACTGAGAACATCCAGATCCATGGAGGCCACCTGAGGAGATAGGAGGACACCGTTTGACCTCAGTGTGACACACGCATCTTGTTGAACTGCTGAAAAACGTCTTTTTCCAACAAAAATATGTTCAACGAGACAGAAAACAGGACTTGTCTTGTTCTGCACCTTCTCAGGTTTGGGTTTAGCCTCAGCTGCAGTTTTCTCTTTAACGGCCGTCTTATCAGGGACGGTAGACACGGCTTTAGGAGGAACACCAGAGGACTCCACTTTCTACAAAACAACACAGAAGACACAGTTTAACGTTGACAACCTGAGAAGAAAAGTGACAAAACAGGACACGAAGCTGCATCTTAATCTCTAACAGTTTAAATGCTCCTTCTTTACTAATCACTTTTAAAAACCCTTAAGAACCACACACACACACACACACACACACCAGTTCGAAGATTTACAGGTTTTGTCCGAGATGATTCAGATTTTGAAGGAGAACATTTCCCGTAGTTACTCCTACAATAATACCAACAGGAAAGAGGAAATGAAGGAATCAGCGTGGTGCACTGTACCTTGGCACTGGAAGCAGACAAACCAGCCTCCGGAGACAACTTGTCAGGAACTTTACCACCAGCAGCTTTCTTGCCAGCAGGTGGAGGAGGAGGAGGAGCTTTCTACAACATCCAAAAGTTAAAGAGATTAAAACACAATATAGCTGCGGTTGTTTTGATTTTCTCTGAATAGGAACTGGATCCACCTGTGCTGAAGCAGCTGACGGGGTGACCACAGGGGCCTGCACAGGAGAGGCTGATGAAGAGGTCATGAAGTCTCCAGACAAAATGTCCAGAGCTTCGCCAGTATCCATGGTGGGCTGAGAGGACAAAGAGAGATGTGGAAAAAAATAACAGAGTAATAATATTATTCATTTGCTGAATTCCATTTTATTCACGGTTACATCTCAAGAACTCTTTCCTGTTTTTACCTCGGGTTTAGGAGCGGGTAATTTTTTGAGATCTTCCTCTTTAAGCCTGTAGTCTGGAGGAAGCGAGTCCTCCCTCTCTCCCACACGTACACCCTTCTCCTTCTTCACTTTGTCTTCCTGTGGAACAAAAGAAGAAGAAAACAGGAGAAATAAAATAAAGACTTTTTTTTTCTGACGGTACATGACTTAACGGTTTGTTTTGTTTTTGTGCTCCTACTGGGACGATGTCCTTGGGTTTCAGTTTGGGAGACTCAGGTTTCGGCTTGTCTTCTGGCAACATGTCTACAAGTTCACTGAGAGCGTCCAGAGACATGGAGACATCCTGAGAGGATATTGTAACGCTTATTGATCAGCTCATCAGACGTCGATTCATTATTCACATTGTGCTCCGCTTCATCTCCATCTCACCTTGTCAGACTTGAGCTGGGGGTCCGTTTTGGATTCAAGTCCAGCTTCCAGGGAGAACTCAGCTGCAGCTTGGTCCATCTTTGCTTTTTTATCTGCTGGGGGAGCAGGGCAAACAGCTACAGGAGGAACTGCTGCCTACAGGGACAACAAACCAAAGAAGAAAAAACTAATTGTGTCCGGACAATACGAAACTTTATTAAACAACACGGTTTCTAAAGTAAAGCACTGTACCTTTGAGACATTCTCTGGGGCTTTCTCTAACCTCGCTTTTTTATCAGCAGGAGGAGCAACTTTCTATAAAGAGTAAGACGTATTCAAAACATAAATGTCTACATTTAACTTTGATAATAGACACACCGACTGTAACTGTACGTCAAGTCCATGAAATGCACGTGTGACAGATGTAAATGGGACCATAAAGGTTAGAAGTGGACGAGCAGCTGAGACTGACCTTCTGCTCTGTAGGTCCAGGTGGAGCTGTGGATGTCGTAAAACCAAACGAAAGGGACTCCAGAGCCTCGTCTGTACTTATAGGTTTCTGAAATAGATAAATAAAAAAAAACACCTAAAATATCACCTCAAGACGGCAAAGCAACTCCTGCCAGATCTTCAAAACAACCGGATTCTTTACTAAAGAATGAAGCTCTGAGACAAACAGCTTGATCCTCCACTAGAGGGCACAATGTGACAAATCTTCAAACAAAAAGTTGAAGAAAAAATAATAATGTGAACCAAACTGCCTGTACCAACAGTGAGAGGAAAGTACAGACACGCCCTTCTTAACATTCCACAGACACCAAAAACTGACAAATACATGCCCCTGTGAGACAGACAGCACACAGGAAGTCGAGCTGCTTTGTCAAAACCGAGAAAAAAAACATCTAAACCCTAAAGTTAAATAGGGACAAAGTTTTTTTGATGAAAGATTTAAAAAAATACACAGAATCAAACATCCATGACAGCTGTGGGAGAACTGGGAGAAGGCTGTGATGCAAAGGTGGGAGTGTTGGTGACTAAACACTAAACTACATGTTCAAGAGCTGAACACTGTGCATCGTCGTGTGCAGCTCACATTTTTATGACTGGTTTGGTTTAACATGAATCAACTAGTTCGAACGCAGGAGGTAGTTCTCGTGTCGGGCCAACACCCATTAACATTTCCCAGTTCAGAAGAGGCAGCAGGTCAGACAGTGGAACCACTGCTTCCTGAATGTGTTTGTGTTGAGGGGAACAGTGTCTGTTTATAACCCTTTTCTTATCTGAATCACATTAAACTGAGGCCATCACTCCCTGAAAAGGCTTAATGTGAAATCTTTACTTACAGGAACATCTTTTGGTTTAACATCTGCAGGAGCTGGAGCCTAAAAACAGACAAGAACAGGATTTCATTTATTTGACATCAAATGGCACGTCGGTCAACTTCTGGTGCTTTTCTCTTTTATTTCTGTGACGACAATCAGACGAGACCAGGACCAGGTAACATTTAAGTTTCATGTTCAGCTCAACACACATTTGAAGTGCACTGGTCACATGACAGTCCATGAAATAAGTTTCAGTGGGTTAAATCAACTTCATCTGCAGTTAACTTCATCATGATCAGCTGTTAACTTCATCACGATCAGCTGTTAACATCATCACGATCAGCTGTTAACATCATCACGATCAGCTGTTAACATCATCACGATCAGCTGTTAACTTCATCATGATCAGCTGTTAACTTCATCATGATCAGCTGTTAACTTCATCATGATCAGCTGTTAACTTCATCATGATCAGCTGTTAACTTCATCATGATCTGATGTTAACATCATCATGATCAGCTGTTAACATCATCATGATCAGCTGTTAACATCATCATGATCAGCTGTTAACTTCATCATGATCAGCTGTTAACTTCATCATGATCAGCTGTTAACATCATCATGATCAGCTGTTAACATCATCATGATCAGCTGTTAACATCATCATGATCAGCTGTTAACATCATCATGATCAGCTGTTAACTTCATCATGATCAGCTGTTAACTTCATCATGATCTGCAGTTAACTTCATCATGATCAGCTGTTAACTTCATCATGATCAGCTGTTAACATCATCATCATCAGCTGTTAACTTCATCATGATCAGCTGTTAACATCATCATGATCAGCTGTTAACATCATCATGATCAGCTGTTAACATCATCATGATCAGCTGTTAACATCATCATGATCAGCTGTTAACTTCATCATGATCTGCTGTTAACTTCATCATGATCAGCTGTTAACTTCATCATGATCAGCTGTTAACTTCATCATGATCTGCTGTTAACTTCATCATGATCAGCTGTTAACAGAAATCTGAAACAGTGCCTTAGAAAATAAATCACAGTTTCAAAGTTTTACAGTAAGTAGCTGCAGTGTTCATGTTCGGTGCTGTTCATCCAGGAGAACACTTGATGTACCACACAATCGATGCCAACGATAAACATCTTTCATGCTTTTTACCCACCTTCACTAATTCCACCAGAAAATTTAAATAAAGCCATAAAAGCAACAAAACAGAACTTTGCAAAAGTGTTTAATGTCTAAACAGCGAAACGATGTCATTGTTAAAGACTGATGAGATCATTTAAGTTTCAAACGGGCTGTAAGGAACTTTACCTTTGGGTTTTATTAACGACACATGCACAAAAACACTAAAAGGTGTGAATATTAAAAAGAAAAAGAAGCAGAGAGTGAGGCAAACTGACCACATTTTCAAATCTGTATCCTGGAGGTAGCGAGTCCTCTCTTTCCCCACACTTGTGACCCTTCTCACTGGTGACCACGCTCTGTGACACATGCGTTAATACCGTTACACACACGTAGCTCTGTGGTCACGCAGACACAAACAACATGCAGGCTGTGGTCACGCTGTACCTCTTTGACCTGTGGCCCGGTGTAAACAGGCTGTTTGGGTGCGACAGGTTCAGCTGGTGCTAGAGTTTCCCCCAGGGCAGCAAACGGGTCATCAACTGAGGCCTGAACACGCAACACAACTCAGCACGGCAGAGCGAGCCACATGCATTTCCAAGTAAACACACAGGTCTTCACATTTACCTGTTTGGTTGTTGCTGCTGCTGAAGGAACCTCCACCTGCACCTGCAACACAAACCCAGACTGAGTGCTGTAAAGAACACCAACACACTGCTGTGGTGGCTTGTCGATGGATGAACTCACAGCCCTTTGAAGAAAGTTACAAATTAAGAAAGTTTGTTTGTCATCATACAAAAAAATCCTGGCAGGTACCTTTCTGAATACGAAGAGGTTTATTCCTATTGCTGACAAGAGTCAGAAAATAAACATTACAAAGCATCAAGCTGCATCCTCCATGGTGTGTAACGTGATCCTCTACCTTTGTTTGTGTTGTTTTAGCATCCTCTTTCTTGCCCTGCACGGTCACTTTTCCAGCTGCTGCCGGAGCAGCTGGCTTTGATGTTTTAGCGGTATCAGCTTTAGGCGCTTCAGCTTTGACTGTTGTAGCAGCAGTCGAAGTCTAAAATACAATAAATGTATTACAGGCGGAGTGTGTGTCCAGTGAAACGACAGGTCCAGTTTGTAAAATGTGCAAATGCAGCTAAACCATGCAAAGACCAAGTTGAAGACAGAAGATGAGTCACTGGTAGAAGCAGAGAAAAAGCCTCCACCAACTTCACGATGTTAATAAATGATGAGGTGAAGAGAAATAAAAACCTGAAGCCTCTCCATTTGTTTCCTTTTACTGGCTCAAGTTTTATGATCAGTCACGTTACAGAGCAACGAGCAGAGGCATGCTGAACAAAGAGCTGCACAACGAAGAATCCAGATCCAAGAATCGTTCCTCTGTGATGGAAAGACCAAAGCAGAGACTTCCAAAGAGAACAGAGAGGAAACATGAAAGTTCCCCAGTAAGAACAGTAATGGAACCCTATAAAACTCAAAAAGCAGAAAAAAAAAAAGAGAAAGACATCCTTGAAACATAAGACCCCAAAAGGGGCTCAGAGAGGCCCAGAGCAGTCGGGTCTACCTTGGCTGAGACTTGAGGTTTGGTCACTGAAGTGGTGGTTGTCGTTCCAGCATCAAGAGAAGGAGCCGTGGACTTTGCTTTGACTTGAGAGGTTGCAGCAGTCTACAAACATGTACCCAACAACAACAACTTAAAAACGCCACAAAGGAAATCACCTGGATGAACAGTAGCACCCGGTCAGTGCAGTGTTAGACTTCAAACTAAAGGAGCAGGAGCTAACAAGGTTCACTCAGGTCCTCTGAACCAGTTCTTTATTGAAACGTTTCATCTTTTATATTTTATCTCTAGCTCTAGTCAGCTCCTCAAAGCTGAAGAAGCCTTCTGGATTAAAGACGAACCGTTTCAACTAAGCAGAATCCGTCCAGAGGACCTGACTCACCCTCGTTAGATTCATCTACCTGGATTATAGAGCATGCATCAGGACATGAAGAAGCAGGAGTGTAAAGAAAGTTGTTTAACAAAGTCAGCCCTGCAGTGTGTCAGTAACATTCAGCACATTTTATCAGTTCCTTCACATCTGTCCTTGAGCCACAGATGTGTAAAAGGTGAAAAACAAATGAAGGCAGGAAAGAAGAGATGCAGTCTGCCTCGTAATGAGGACACGCAAGAAGGAAGCGCTCGTTGTTGTTACATGGAGCAGCCAGAAAGTTCCCACCCCAGGAACCATCTACCTCTGTTTTGGTTTTAGGTGAGTCTTTTCCTGCTGCCACACCGCTCCCTGCGGCTGTTGTCGTGGCAACCGCCCCAGCCTTTGAAGTCATGGTGGATCCTGACTTCTGCAATGCACCAAGTATGAGGAAGTTGATCATCAAACCGTGGCGTTAGTACACCTCTGTGAACACTTGTGTTAACTGATACCTGGGCAGGTAGTTACAGTGTCATTAAAAAGTACTTTAAATGCAAGTTTTACACACAAATATGTGTTGAGATGTGATTATTTGGATCTATTACAAATACCAAAGATTGCTAGTTTTTTTTTCTTGTAAGACTTTCAGTAAAAGGCTAGAATATCACTATTGTAAAAAGACAATGCCAAATTGAAAAAAGGTATCATGCACACTTGAATACATTAAAATGTTGCACACTTTAGCACTTTATTTTACTTTATTGAGCATGCATCAGGATATTAGCACTTCACTATCATTCGTGCTTTGGCCTGCAGGCCTCAGTGGAGACACGATTTACAGGTCGTAAAGAAAGCCTGAGAGACTAAGGACTGTGCTTACTTTGAGTTAGCTGGTCTAACAAAAGCCACAACTACTAAAAATAAAGCAAACAAGAACAACTATAAACATTAAAAGCAGATAAAATGACGGAGACGAGAGTTATCGCGCGCACTTTTGCTAGCAGACGTTCAGTTTGACAACAAGAGTTCGGTCAAGTTTTAAAGTTTGACAAACACTTACTTACAGGGGTAAATAACTTTCAAACTAACCACCAAACTGTTGTAAAGTCAAAAACATCTCTTCCGATGCACGGAAGAAAAGTTTAAAGTAAAGACAGCCCTAATTTAATGTAAACAAATCACACGGCGAGCTTGGAAGCTCTTAGGGACCGCCAATAAAGTTACACAAGAAAAATAATTCTTCTAAATAATATAAATGTACATGTTTAGATTTTAAGCATTTTAATGACATTAAAGTGAGATATAAATGTCTCATTCATAAATGTGTGATGTGATTTAGGTGAAAACGCGGACAATACTGTTTATGTTATTTAACATTATAGCCCGATATTGCAATTCGCAGACGGTCCCTAACTCCTCATTTCACTTCCGGTGTTGTGTTTCCGTTTCTCCATTCACCCTGAGGACAAAACTAAACACAACACCGGTGTATATAGACACCGCTGGTGCTTTTTTAACCGAGGGATTTGAAGAAAAGTATTTTCTTTATTTGTTTATTAAAATTATTTATTTCTACACCTGGTATCTGTCCACAGAGCCTGATGCTTATTTTTGGATAATACAATAAAGTTTGTGTAAATGAGAAAGTTAATGCTGTACCTGCTATTGATGTCACAGCATAAAACTAAAACTACATTCAGTTTATATGGTTCCATAAAATGTAATTAATGTTAATGCCACATGCAAAAAAATAGTTTACAGAATATTGCCTGATATGCACAAAGAATAATGAAATAAAAATGGATTCCTCGACAGTTGGGACATGCAAATGTTTTGTTTCATTGCTAGTTAATTTGGTAAAAATAACAACAATTTAGTCATTACTATACTAACATTTAATCAATTTCTCAATACAGTACACTGCATTACGATGGCATTTAAAATGGTTTTCTGTTCGTTATCTGATAATCTAATCTTTATTTAGCGTTAATTGTTAAATTTTGTACCTCAGTACCATAAAAGTTTGATTTTGTTATTCTGTGTTCTTGGACTTTTACCGTTTTATACTTTTACTTGCTGAACCATAGTTTTACTGATTTTAGTATTTAATGTTTTGTCACATTTATTTATTCTTTTAACGTTAATCACTCAACTTGGAGAAAAACGCGCAATAATTCCAACGTACCTGTTCTTAACTTGTACAAATGGCAATAAACTTTTCTATTCTATATTTTATTATGATTAATGTCAGGCACCAACGCTCAGTACTTTTTCTGGATGACAAATATAGTTTCAGTCTAATTTTATTTGATGGAATATCTTTAAAGAAAAATAAGAAAAAAAAAATCATGAAATGAGCTTCTTTCAGAAAATGTACTACTTCAAGGCTCGTTACAAGTTTGATGATACAACCTGGCTCAAATAGAGTTTCTTACAATGCTGAACATTTATTTTAAGCATAACATAATCAGATAAGATGGCAATATGTCTTTACCCTCTGACTTTTCAAGCTAATTTTATTATTTATTCTTTCTAGCAATGTGAATCAGCACCTTTTAGCAGTTCTCAGTGTTCAATATTTTGTCATTTCATTCCCATTATTATACACAATGCAGCTACATAATGTCTGATAAGCTGTTTAGTTTGTTTTGAATAAAAAGTGACTAAAACTAAACAACTGCACACTTCCAAATACCAAAACAAAGCACTACTACGCCTAGTCGATGATGAATGCTCAGTGTAACGCTGCAGTTTTGTTTCACACCGTCACGGGTAAACAAAGTAAACAAAACTGTTGTCGAGCCAAAACTAGTTCAGTCCTCTGCACACTTTCACAATGCTGTGAATGACTTGCACAAGAAATAAACGTTCAGTGATTGGCATTAAAATTAAAAACACTTGTGTGTGTGCTGAAGAAGAAAACTTAATGGCTCTGTTGATCATTCCGTTTGTAGAAAAACACGAGTTTTAAATATGTTTTTTAGGATCCACTGAATTATGTGAAAAGCATAGAACACTCTAAGTAGGTGCACTGTTCTGTATTTTAAATGCATGCCGTAATCGCCGTGTGATGCAGAAAATGCAACAGAAGACGTACAACAGACTAATGCATGATGCTCTGGCTCCGTTGAGAAAGTATAAAAGGAGTCATTGAATCAAGAGACTGTAATGGACATAGGATGTGTGTGATTGTGTTTCACTAAGTTTGGCATCTGGTAAAAACAAGAAGGAACTAATAATTTACTGTAAGAATTTTATCAGGTCTTTTTCCTGTTACTATAAACAATAAACATCTGGACATTAATGATCATCTAATTCACTGTTTCAGGGCAGCTTTCACAGCTAAAGTGAGTGTTTACATCCCGAGTTTGAAAACAAGGGAAAGTAACATTTTCCTACGCGTTTATGGAAATAAAGTGAAGTCCATTCCTGCACACTCTCTCGCTCACTCTTTGAAGATCTTTTTGCTCTAAGAGAGAGAGCTGAAGCAGGGAAGGAAATGACATCACAGCTCAGATAATGGGAGGGGGCGGGGCCTCAGGGTCAGTCAAACACAGGAAGTTAACAAATGGAGTTTCTCGTCAAGAAAGAGGTGAAGCAGCCTTCTGGAGAAAAGTTTCATACCTCAAACTCTGCAGGCTTCACAGTGGAGACCTGAGCTGCCGGTTTGGGTGTTGCCTGGCTCGGCTGCGACTGCACAGAGAGAAAGACGGGAGGGCGGGGGAGGAAACAGAAGAAAAGTCACACGTGTGCAACTGGCACTAGACAACTATGCAATTGCAGGAAAATCCACACAAGGCAATGTTTCAATTTCACAAGAGAACATTTCAATAAAACTTGGAACTGAAAAAGTTGCTGAAGTCGCAACAGCTTCAAATGTTCACAGCAGAAAATGCCACAAGGTGTTCTGAAACAACCATGGCACGGTCGGCTCCAGAGCCACATTCCAGCCTGAAGGGCAGCGCTGTTTTTGCCAGCAAAGTGCGAAGTGACCCAGTATCATTGTTGCCATCACCTCGGCAACTGACAGCAGCAACGGTGAATGTCCAGCTCCAGAGTTAGAGGTTTAGCAGCTGAGGTCACACTCACTGAAATAAATGCTAAAGTACTTCACGTTGGTCTTCAAGCCAACTTTGACCTGCAGGGCTGAGAGGTCAGATGTGAACGTATTTTAGAGATCTGTGCTGCACTGCAACTTATCACTTAATCACATTGTGCAGTGAACATTGTCTTCAGCTTCCTTTTTTTGTATAAAAAGTGTTAAAGCTACTCAAAAACATATAAAAGTGTGAACTGCTTTCATGTCATGTACAAAAAACAAGCCTTGCTGCATTAATAATAAGTAGGACATGTGAAAAACTATTAAAAAATATGAGTTTTCAATGTTAAGAGGTGCATTGAATGTGTCCAACATTTCAGGACAGTGCTGTTGGTTCAGTTTGAGGTCTTTTAATTCAACTCATTGTGTTAAAGTGGCACACGGACAAGAGAATCAGTGGGTTAACAAACAAGGTAGGTGCAAGAAGAACGTGTTGATGTATAAATGTGACCAATTCAGTCTGTGCACCTCATTTGAAAGAAGTCTTTGTAGTGTGACCAGAATTAGCGCCTCGTTACTACATTCTGAACAAAGGACACCAGTTCTTCATGTCAGGTGCCGTTTTGTGCCATTTGAACTAGTTCAGCCAAAGCCGTCCTACTCGTACAGTCATGGGCCGACATCAAAAACAGAAACACCAACGTGAGAACAGAACAGAGCAAACAACACGTGCACGCCTAGATTTTGGAAGGCATGTCAGAGGCTCCAGGTGGAGCAGGACCCAGCCCAGTTCTTTTATGAGAGCCTCCACCCCTCTGATGCTGTTAGTTTCCAGTCTGACCTATTGAATTGTGTGCAGTGGTAACAGTCAGTCCCAACCTAGCCTGTCGGTGAACATTTCTCCACCTACTTGTTCATAGCAAAGCTTTGGAAAACTAATTGTGAAGAATTTATGGACTCAGTTTTCACCTCCAGTCACGATTTTATAGTTTCAGTTCCAGCAGCGTCCACTAAATAAGAAAACAAAACAAACAAAAAAAACAACTATCGGGTACATCCACCAACTACCATTATCCTACGTAAGAGTTTCTTAGTTGTCATTCGCACCTCATGTGGTACAAGTGGTGGAGTGAAATTATGTACACAGGGTCCCAGTTACATCCAACAATAAAATGTAAAATAAAAACAATGAGAACATCTAAGATATGAACTAAGAAAACATCAATTAAAAATACACTAAACACTAACAGCATAAAAGCATTATGTCGAACAGCAGCACGGACATGAACATGAGTCTGTGTGAGCAGATGAGCACGCATGAACACATCATGAAACAGATCAGCAGCAACATGAAACAGATCAGCAGCAACATGAAACAGATCAGCAGCAACATGAAACAGATCAGCAGCAACAAAATGTGATTTTTTTTTCACAGTGATTATTCTGGTTAGAGATCCATGAGTCTAACAGCTTCAGGGTAGAAGCTGTTCCTCAGTCTAGTGGTTCTACACTTAATGCTCCTCAACCTCCTTCCTGAGGGTGTAGTATGACATATGCAGGATATATTCATACTGTTTAAGACGGGTTCTTCATTTTTCTGACTGTGTAAATGCGTGCATTGAGTTTAACAGAAATGTAACGAGAGACGTTATTTACCTTTGACCTATCAAAATGAATGCGGTCATTTATTTACAGAATCAAAGTTTAACATCACACATTTACATTAATTTGGCAGAATATGAAAACAATAACATGGCTAGTTTCACAGAAAGTGGGCACAATACGGCGATTGTCCTCACTTCTCAGCAGAACAGCAGACATCAATCACACGGCGGTGATTGAGAACTTTGCTTCAGATATTTCTAAAATATCTGTAATGATTTTAGGAGAAAGGAGAGTTTAAGATGGAAAATGGAGATTTATCTTACAGAGAGATGTGTGAGGGAATTAATCTGTTTGACCAGAAACGTGCACGCTCTTTGGGGAATCAGCTTGGCCACGGTACACTTGGTCGAAAATAGAACCTTCTACCTGGTTGATGATAAAATCAGCGTCGGGTTCCTTTCTGACTCTTTCAGCGTCTCCATGAGGACAGCCAAACCCTTAGAGAGTCGTGCGAGGTTATCCAAACAGAAGTTATAATTCCCAAAATCGTCACTGCATTCTCTATTCCAATAGAAGCATTCTGGACGCCTGCGTTAGCATCCAAGAACTCTGAACTCTTTAACTCTCTTCAGAGAGTTAAAGTCTGGAACTCTTCTCCAGGAAAACTTTCAAGCTCTGAAAACTCCCATGTTGAACTCAATCTCAATCTTGAGCGCAGCAGCTAGACTGGGGAGTTGCCACATTTAAATGGGTCGACTTCCGGGTCATTTGAGAGCTTTTTGATTGGTCGATGGACCAGAAAAGAGGTGTGGTTTGTGATGTAAGGTGTTATGAAAAGTCAAGGATTGTTTTAGTGACAGACAGAAAGATTATTGGAGAACTTCAGACTTCGTGGAGTCTCTACTCTTATTATCTGCTGTAACAGTTAAACATGACATTTCTTTTCAGTAAACTTTTAGTTGACCGAAACTTGAACCTTAACATACTTACAAATTTGCTCATTGAAGACAGAAAAATCAAGAAATGCCTATTACCCTGATTTCTTCTTTGAATGAGGAATAAAAATCATTACTTACTGTTTATGTAAATAAAAATGAGTAGTTCTCTTCAACCTGTAAACATTGAGTGAACTAACACAATTTGATTATCAAACATTTGTAAAATAGTAATGATCACAGAGAATTGTCTTTTCTACTTGATTACTTCAAGAAAGAAAGTCTCCAGATGGCTCAAACTGTATTTCTGGATGCAGATCAATGAAATAACAGTCTCTGTCCATCTGGTCAGTTTTGACATAGGCCTAGTCCACTACAAGGGGAACGGGGTAAAAAGTGTGTGCTGGGTGAGTGGGGTCCTTCATGATGCAGGTGGCCCTCTTCCTGCATCTGGAGGTGTAGATGTCTGTGATGGTGGGGAGTCTGACTCCAACATCTTCTGTGCAGCCTTCACCACTCTCTGCAAAGCTTTTCTTTCTGCAGCTGTGCAGCCTCCATGCCACACATTGATGCTGGAGCACAGGATGCTCTCCACTGCACACCTGTAGGAGGTGGTGAGGACTGAGCTTCCCAGCTTCTCCTACATCTAAGCTAACTCACTGAGCCAGCAGTGCATTATAGATTTCAGCTTACAGCTCTGTTAGAGGATGGAGCTACGTTAGCGATGAGCACAAACCAAAACTCTGAATGAGCTGCAATCAGTGGCCTCTGATTCATCAACATCTGCACCTCAGCACCGTCGTCAGCCTGTAACACAACCCACTTTCATAAATGCTAACTGTTCAGCATTTTAACTCGCTTTCAACAGAATATTAGGCATGAAAAAAATCTTTGACTTGAGCTTCAGATCTTGTACTGTGGAATTTCTGCAGCAGGAGTGACAAACTTTAAAGTTATGTGTAACTGCAGTTTTAAGAAGAGACCATGCCATTTTATCTTGTTACTTTTTCCCCTCACATAGTTTCAGTTGTGGACAGTCCCCCACCTACAATAAAATAAAATAAAGTCACCCCACACCTCCTAATAAATAATATAAATTACTCATTTACTGAGCTTGCTATGTATTGCTTTCCTCTGTGCATTTTTCTACTATTTTAACAATTTTAAGTGGAATTTTAAATTTCAGTGATTCATCCTCGGCTTTACGTTAACATTACAGGGCAGTACCGTTCAACGATCTGTGTCCATCAAGCGGGTCTGAACCTGCGGCCAGTGATCCAAACAGGTAGGTCAAATAGTTTCATTTGGAGCATCCGATTTTCTAGATACATTTGACTGGTTTTTATTCACTTCAGTTCAGTTTATTTATATAGTGCCAAGTCACAACAGAAGTCATCTCTTGGCACTGAACTTTTAGCACATTGATACGACCTCTAGACGTGACATGAGCTCAAAAGCAGGCACAGATGCAGTGAAACCTGCTGAGCTCAACAGTGGAGATATTCTGTTTTTAAATCCATTTGGAGCAGAAAGAGGGGCCAAAACAGATAACTTAAAGAATTCCATGATGCTTGGTAGTGTGTGGGTGTACTGGATCAGTGGCTGAAGCAGTGGTCTTGTTACTGAATGTTTGAGAGTTAGATCTCTACCTGGATTGGTTATGATATATTCTATCATTCTTCACTTATCTATCTATCTATCTATCTATCTATCTATCTATCTATCTATCTAT